ATCACAGTAAGGATTTCAGCTGAGTTACTTCTCCTTTCAGAACCCAGTTGGCAGCAGGAAGAATAACCCTAGTGAATATTCACAGCATAGGATAATTAAACAAAGGTGTAGGCACTTGCAGAGTAGAAGATGAAGATTATGTTACACAATACAAGTAATTTAAAATTGTTTTTAAAGTATGAAATAAAAGATATTTTGAGAAAAATTTCTCAAGTAATGCTACTTATTGCATAAGTACTTGCACATGTAGATACTCTTTTAGTTTCTTGAGCGATGATGCATTTTAATAGCTATGTAGATTTCAATAGTCCACACATTTAGTCTTCATACTAATGTTATGACAGGTAATTTTCCATTGCTGTTGTAACACATTGCTAGAAACTTGGTGGTTTAAAGTAACTAAACATCATTAACACGATTTCCTTAGGTCGTGAGTCAAGGCATTGCTTGACGAGGTTTTCTACTCAGGGTCTCATGACGAGCTCATGATCTCATGATCAGCTGGAGGCTTGACTAGGATGGAACCACTTACAGGATTTTCAGCTGGTTGACCACACTTCTTTTCTCCAAGCTGTTGGACTGAAGTGACAGCTTACTTGGTGGTTGTCAATGAGGGAACCTCTCTTTCCACTCTCGGGTTCTTGCCAGGTGGATCCCTCTGTCAGGGGTTCACAGAGTGGTTGCTGGGTTCCTTAAAGAGAAGGAGAGTCCCTCTCATTTCCACCCTCTATATTCAATCTGCTAAACAGAGTTGTGTGTAACATAAAGGAATTACTAGAGAGACTGTTAATAGGCCTAGCCACATGCAGGAAAAAGGAGGCATGTGCAGCCAGAGGTAAAATTTGAGGTGTTATATTAGAAATCTTCAGACCTTAGATAGTATTTAAAGAAGAGAAAACTGAGGAACATATGCACTTGGTAAAATGTTCAAGATCTTCCATATAATTAGTAAGTAGCATGGAAGGCATTTGAACACAGGAGCACTACTGCTAAGGTTTATGTGCTAAACTGTATACTATGCTACTTGTTTTCTGACCTTTTTACTAGAAACCTCTTTGAAAACACGATTCTTCCAGGGCAGTATTTCTAAATAGACTTTAATAATAAAGTGAAGCTGTATTTAAATTCTAGACAAGAAGAAAATCTTGAGGTGGTGTCGAACAAGACCTGAGTGGGGACGTGAGGATTGAGAAAGAAGAAACAGAGAGACGGGAGAGCCCAAAAAAGACCGAGCGAGCAAGTCCACCCCCACCTCTCCTCTATACACTCAGCGAGCAAGGCCACCAACCATGACCCCCATCCAAAAACACCCGCCTCC